AAGCGCCTGGGGCTGGGCCAGGGCCCCCCGCTCTGCAGCCCTCCTGCGCGCCAGCCTCTCGTGCATCTCAGCTCGGGTGACTGCACTGCTCACTATTACTTCCACATGTTCCTTCAGGAAATCATTGAAGGCAAATATATGAACAGCCCCTTGTTCGGAATGCTAACAGGATACCGTAATGTTTGTAGATGGCGAACGGGGACGAACGGCCCCCATAGAAATCAGAGTGCGGAATCATGGGGGGAAGCGGGTGCTGGCTTTCGTGCTCTCATACAGACAAGTTGAGATGTAGGTTTCATAGCTGGTACTCAAGAGGGGAGAAGGCGAAGCTAGGAGCTGCCCAGGAAGGCCTGCTCTGCTACCGAAAGCACCAGCCCTGTCGCACCAGAGTCACCTGAACGCAGGACCCCCACGGCTCCCGCCTACAAATAGTAACTTCCCAGTTCATTTCGGAGTCGCTTAAGGGGGCCCGAAAAGGGGGCTCGCCCGGGGTGTCTTGGGGCCCTAACTCCTCGCGAGTTGAAAGCAGAGAGCCTGGGATGAGCAAGTGCGCACCCAGCTGTCCTTCTGGTAGTAATTACCTGCCTCATTTGAATGATGCCTTTGTGAAGATCATTAACAAACATTTGCTAAAGGTTTCCATGTGTGACATTCCAGAGGGTTGAAAGGCCTGGGGAGCTGGCTCCTGGGATGGCGCACCGGTGGGGGGTGGCGCAGGGCAGCAAATGGCTGGGGACGCCGTGGCCGAGCTCGGCCGAGCAAAGAAGGAGAGAGGTCAACATCTGCCGTCCCTGCAAAATCAAAATAAACCCGGTGGTCAGGAGCCACCTCCGGGCTGGAGGGAGGCGGTCCGTTCCTCACCACCAGCCCAGCCCGCAGCCCCCGCTCGCCCGCCCCTCCCACTGCTCATAGGCGGGTTTGAATCCCGCCGTCGGCGCTCCGCCGCGGCTCCCCAGCTTCGAGTGTGCGCGGGGCAGTGGCCTGGGAGGGGTGGGGGTTGTTTTGAGATCCTTCCAGATTGTGTCCCCGACGCCGGGGGGTCCCGGAGCCCCAGGGGGGGGCGGGGGACAAGCCGCGGCGCCTGGCCAGCGCGGACTGCGAGGTCTGTTCTCCTCTCCGTCAGCTGCTGCCCGGGCCACCGCTGGGTACGAGGCCGCCCTGTGCGCCTGGAGGGGTGACCTTTGCCGGCCCGCGCAGCTGTTCGAAAGTCCCAGCCCGCATTCTTGTGTGTGTGTGATTTTTTTTTCCTTGAGAAATCATCATGGGGTTAAGAATGAAGGTTTTCTCCCCAAACCGGGACTCTGGGAAGGAGGCCCATCTCCGGGGCTGAGTTGGGCCGGGAAGTTCGGGGAGCGCGGCGGTGCTGGCGCGGCCTCGCACGTCTAGGCCCGCAGGCGACGTGAAATTGGATGCGAGGGCACAAAGAGATGTCGTGGAGCCAGCCATCTAAAAGAGGGGCCCCCGCAAAATTTTTACAACCAAATTAAAATGGTCACTGAAAACAAAAACCAAATCTCCCCGGCCCCGCCTCCCAGACTCGCTCTTTGTCCCCCGCCCGGCGGTCACCACGGCTGCAGCTCCGGGCGTCCCACCTTCGGCTTTCGTGGGCGTGGGCGTTCCCCGCTGCGTTGGCTTTTATTTCTACCCCACTCCTCCCAGGCTGTCAGCTCCACCCCCATCCCCCTTTCCTCGTAGAATTCCGAAGGTCCTTTTGCCTTAGAAGACCTAGGATTGTAACCGTTATCAAAGCCGATCGTTGTGAAAATCACAGGGAAACAAACGTGTGATTTTGGGTGGGGTGGGGGCACACGTCTAGCTTCCCGACTTGAAAATAAAGGGCCCTTTCCCTGACCGGTTTGGCTCAGTGGATAGAGCGTCGGCCTGCGGACTGAAGGGTTCCAGGTTCGATTCCGGTCAAGGGCATGTACCTTGGTTGCGGGCACATCCCCGGTAGGGGGTGTGCAGGAGGCAGCTGATCGATGTTTCTCTGTCATCGATGTTTCTGGCTCTCTATCCCTCTCCCTTCATCTCTCTAAAAAAATCAATAAAATATATATTTTTTAAAAGAAAATAAAGGGCCCTTTGGTGATTTGTCAAAGAAAACGGCGCCAGCTGCCCATTCCCCCACCCGCTTCAATTCCTGAGTGGGAGCTGCCCCGCTGTGTCCGGCGAGGGATTCTTCGTGGGGAAGACTCCGAGGAGGCTTGTGGATGTGGCGCCCAGATGTGGGGTCCCCGGGGGGCAGACCAGTGGGCACCCAGCCCTTGCCTTGGATCTGAACCCGGGGAGGCTTGGGAGTTTGCTCCAAGCCTCTTTACACACTCGGAATTCAGAGAAGCCCACGTCTTCGAAAAGGAGGAGGAAGAGTTAGTTCTCCCAAAAGGTCCTCACTGGCCTGTGTAACTTGAGGTGACAGTTCTCTCTCCAGACTTCCTCCCACACCTCCTCTTCTTCCTCAAGCTGGCTGGACCCAAGGGTGCAGCGTCTCTTCTGGGTTCCTTGGGTCTCTCTCTCTCTCTCTCTCTCTCTCTCTCTCTCTCTCATCTTCAGGGAGAAGCAGAAAGCATTTTCGAGGTGCAGGTGAGCAGCTGCACCCTCTCCTAGGGTTCCTAACACCATGGCTGCCTAGAGACCTCAATGAGGACCAGAGGTTGCCGCTGTTTGTGGCCCACCCAGCTCAGGAGGGCCTGCCCTCCTCAGAGGTGGGAAAGATGTGGCTCTGGATCCAGCTTTTTAATACCCTTTTCCTAGGGAGAGAGCCCCATTTCCTTAACATCTTTGTGTCTCCTCCTCCCTTCTCCTCTGTAGCTCTTAGTTACTTTTAATTTGAAAACCACTGTGAGGGGAGGGGAGGGGGGAAATGAGGAGATTGGGAGGTCTGCTCTCTATTAGGAGCCCCAGCCTCCAGCTTTCCAAGACACAGCTGTGGCTGGGGAGGGGAGGGAGGGCTGGCTCTGTTTCGGTGAGCCTGACTGAAGAAAGGGCCTTGTCCTCTATGAGTCCCCAGAGTACAAGTACAGCAGGGCTCTGTGGGGTTAAAAAAGAAAAGAAGAAGAAGAAGCTTCCCCCAGAGAGGCTTTGTGGAGTGGAACGTCAGCTGGTGGAACCTGGGCTCCACAATGGCTTTAATTATAGTACATAAGTTTGAATATGCGCCACATTATTTAATCAGTGTATTATTTTATTTAATCCCCCAAACAACCTCTGGGTTGTACATGATTATCCCCATTTAAAGGAAGAGCAAACTGTTAGGTCTGATCAAATCGATACCCCCTCCCCTGGGAACTCACCTTTAGCCCACTTCACAACTGACAATCCCTTTCCCTTAGACCAGTGGTCACCAACCGGTTGTTCGAGGACCACTGGTGGTCCGTGAGGTCCAAAAGGTTGGCGACCACTGCCATAGACCACCTTCCATTTGCTAAGACCATTATCTTTCCCCTCCAGACTTACCCAGGATCTGGACCACCCAGAGAGTTTCCAGCCAGGAAAAGCCCGCCTAGAGTCCTTTAAAATCTCTGACTCCCCAACCTTGACACCATTTGGGGGCTCAGCCCATGTGGTTTGCAGATGATCTAATAAATCTATAATCCCTTACTGCTTTTGGCCTCGTGCGTTCCTCCTTTGGTGACCCTAACATTTGGTGCAGACACCTGGGAGGGTTCCATGGGGAAGGGGAGCCATCACCCTGGCTTCAGCCACCCCAAGTTTGCTACTTG